TATGATGAATTGCACTTGACCATGGTGTATAACTTTTTTTTTGATGTGTTGCTGTATTCTGATTGCTAATATTTTGTTTAGGATTTTGCATGGATGTTCATCAAGGATACTGGTTTGGAATTTTCTTTTTTTTGCTGTGTCTTTNCTTTCTATGCCTAATTTATTGACAGTCTTTATCATGAAAGGATGTTGAATTTTCTCAAATGTGTTTTTGGCATCTATGGAGATAATCACATTGTTTTTGTCCTTGATTTTATTGAAGTGATATATCACAAGTATTGACTTTCATATGTTGAACCATCCTTGCATTCCTATGATGAATTGCACTTGACCATGGTGTATAATTTTTTTTTTTTTGATGTGTTGCTGTATTCTGATTGCTAATATTTTGTTTAGGATTTTTGCATGGATGTTCATCAAGGATACTGGTTTGGAATTTTCTTTTTTTTGCTGTGTCTTTATCTAGTTTTGGCATCAGAGTTATGTTGGCCTCATAGAATGAGTTTGGGAGAATGGATTCTGTTTCAATTTTTTGGAATAGTATGAGGAGAATTGGTATTAATTCCTATTTAAAGGATTGGTAGAATTCAGCTGTAAAGCCATCTGGACCTGGGCTTTTCTTTGTTGGAAGATTGCTGATTACCACTTCAGTCTTGTTGCTTGTTATTGTTCTGTTCAGGTTTTCTCTCTTCTTGGTTCAATCTGGGTAGTTTGTATGTGTCCAGAAACTTATCCAAATCTTCCAGGTTTTCAGATGTTGTCATACAGTTGTTTATAATAGTCTCTAATGGTTCTTCATATTTCTGTGGTATTAGTTGTAATGTCTCCCTTTTCATTTCTGATTTTTTGTTATTTGGGTGTTCTCGCTTCTTTTTGTTGTTGTTGTTAACCTAGCTAATGGTTTGTCTATTTTTTTATCTTCTAATAAAAACAGCTTTTTGTTTAGTTGATCTCTTCTATCAATGTAAGCATTTATTGCAATAAATTTGCCTCTTAATACTGCTTTTGCAGTATCCCACAGGTTTGGGTATGATGTATCTTTATTTTAATTAGTTTCAAGAAATTTCTTGATTTCTTGTTTAATTTCTTCTAGGACCCATAGGTCATTCAGGAACCTATTGTTTAATTTCCATGTATTTGTGTAGTTTCCAGGGTTTTGCTTCTTATTAATTTCTAGTTTTAGTCCATTGTGGTTTGAAAAGATACTTGGGATGATTTCAGTTTTCTTAAATTTGCTGAGATTAGATTTGTGACCTAATATGTGGTCTATCTTGGAGAATGTTCCACGTGCTGATGAGAAGAAAGTATATTCCTTAGTTATTGGGTAAAATGTTCTATATATATATAGAACATATATATATATATAGATAGATAGATAGATAGATATATAGATAGATATATATAGAACATATATATATATATAGAACATTTCACCCTATATATAAAGAAACACCATATATATATATATATATATATATATGCCAGGTCCAGTTGGTCTAAAGTGTGGTTTAAATCCTGTGTCTCTCTGCTGATTTGCTGCCTGGAAGATCTGTCCCATACTGAGAAAGGGGTGTTCATGTCACCCACTATTAATGTATTAGGGCCTATTTCTTTCTTTTTTACGTCTAAGAGTGTTTGCTTTATACATCTGGATGCTCAGTATTGGGTGTACACATATTTATGATTGTTATGTCTTCTAACTGAATAGATCCTTTTATCATTATATAGTGGCTTTCTTTGTCTCTTTTTATGTTTTTTGTTTTAAAGTCTATTTTATATGATTTAAGAATAGCTATTCCTGCGTTTTTGGGGTTTCCATTTGCATGGTATATCTTTTTCCATCCCTACACTTTCAGTCTGTCTGTGTCCCTACAGGTGAGATGGGTCTTTTGAAGACAGCATATACTTAGGTCTAGCTTTTTAATCCCATCAGTCTGTGTTTCTTTTGCATGGGGAGTTTAGTCCATTCACATTTAGGGTGTTTATTGACAGATATTGTTTAATTCCTGTCATTTAATTGCTTTTTGTTTAGATGTTTTAAATATAAGAGGATCCTTCCTTCTTTTTTTTTCTCTTCTTCAACGTTAGTTGAAAATTTGAGGTGGCATGATTTAGCTTCTTTCTGTTTTAACAGTGGGTTTTTCTCTTTCTTGTGTATCTGTGATGGTGATCATTATTCAGATTCCTGATGAAGGACTCTTTGAGAATTTCTTGCAGGGCTGCTCATGTGGTGGTGAACTCCCAGAATTTTTGTCTGCCTGGGGAATACACTATTTCTCCCTCATTTCTGAAGGAGAGCCTTGCTGAGTAAAGAATTCTTGGCTGGCAATTTTTTTCTTTTAGTGTTTTCACCCTATCATTCCACTTTCTTTCGGCCTGTAGTGTTTCAGTCAAGAAGTCTGCTATTAGTCTGATGGGGGTTTCCTTATAGGTGACTTGACGCTTTTCTCTTGTTTCTTTTAGAATTATCTCTTTGTCTTTGAGCTTTGCAAATTTGACTATAATGTGTCTTGGGGAGGATCTTTTTGGATTGAATCTGTTTGGGGACCTTTGAGCTTCCTGCTTCCTTTATCTGAAGGTCTGCATCTCTCTCTACACCTGGGAAGTTTTCTGTTATTATTTCCTTGAATAGGTTTTCAATGCCTTTTTCTTTCTCCTCCCCTTCTGGAAACCCACAATTTGGATGTTAAAGCACTTGAGGTTGTCTATCTCTCTTAGATTTTCTTCATTGTTTTTAATTCTTGTTTCCTTTTTTCTTTTTTTTTTTGTCTGCCTAGGTTATTTTGAAAAGACCATATTCGATAACTGAAATTCTTTCTTTTGCTTGCTCTAGTCTGCTGCTCACAAACTCTCTGTTGTGTTTTTTATTTCATTGAGTCAATCTTTCATTTCCAGCAGTTCTGTTACATTCATTTTTATGTATTAATCTCTCTCTAAATTTCCTCTTTCATATTTTGGATATTTTTTCTTGTTTCCATTTGTTCTCTAATTGAGTCTTCTTTTATCTCTCTGAGTTTTCTTTAGATCATTTCTAGGAATTCCTTTTCAGACATTTCAAGGATTACCTGTTCTGTGGGATCTGGAATTTGAGCATTACTGTATTCCTTTGGTGGTGTCATATCTTCTTGTTTGTTCATAGTTCTAGTATTTTTTCATTGATGTTTGGTCATCTGGTAGAGGACTTGCTGCTTCTGTTACTCTGGGGTTGGCTATTAGGATAAAGATTTCTTCCTCTATTTGCAGACTCTGCTGGTGACTCTTCTTATATCAGTGCAGTCAAGTGAGTGGCAGGTTGCCTGTAGAGTGGCCCTGGTTGCTACTGTGGTGATGAACTGTCCTTGCGGTGACAGTAGGTGTGGCGGTGGCTATACTACACCTTGTTCGCTCCTGTTCCAGCTTTCTGTGGCCGTAGACTGAGCCTCCAATGCCAAGCATGTCTCAGCTCACCTTGGAGCCTGCTGGGCTGTGGGCTCTTTTCTTCCCTCTAGGGTCTTAGACTGAGCCCTGCTGCCATGCAGGTCTCAGCTCACCTCAGAGGCTGATGGGCTGTGGGTGATTTACTTCCCTCTGGGACCTTAGACTGGGACCCTGGTGCTGCATGGGTCTTGGCTCACCTTGGAAGCTGTTGGGCTGTGTGTGCTTCACTTCACTCTAGGACCTTAGACTAGGCCCCCAGTGCCACGCAGGTCTCCTCCACCTTGTTTATGCACGAACCTTGTTTTTTTTTTAAATGTTGGGCTAGTCCGCTCTGCTGCTTCTCTCACAGCCCCTCAGTCTGCTGCAGCTGTGCCATCTCATGCTCTAAAATAAAACTTTAAAAATAATCTTGGCAGCTGGGAACACAAACTATGCCCAGCATTGTGGGAACTCTGGAAATTATTTTGCCTATTGCTTTCTCTTTGACTCAGGGAGTTTCCTGTCACATGTGGGTAGATCAGCAAAAGATTCAAAGCAATCCCTATGGAATTCTCTGGAGGAGTCTCAGTCTCTCTCTCTCTCTCTCTCTCTCTAAATTCCTCCTCTCTGGTACACTGATCCACAAATCAAGATGCTTCAGGATCCTCAAATTCCTATTTGGTTCTTCAACACAGTGAGACAGCTGGGTTGTGTGTTGGTTAATCCTCCCTGTGCTGGTGATAATAACTGCCTTCAGGAAATAAGCTGGGACAATGTTAGGGCTCATTTTAGTATTTTATATTATCTCTCCATCACCTGTAGTCCTAAATCTGAAAGTTATTATTTCCTTTATTTTGTTCATTGAAGGTTAATTCCAGTGGCATTCTACATTGATCGGTGAAACAGAAGTTATGGTAACTTATTTTTATTTTATTTTACAAATCTATCAGTCCATGATGGATTGTGAAAACCACTGGTTTTTCACTCCATATTATTTGAGAACTGCATTGGACAATGTTTCCTCTATGTAATGGCATGCCAATTAGTTCAGGTAGAGGACTGAAGTAGAGTAGAGAGGACTTTCTAGAAGGAGGGATCCTTCTCTGACCCATGGGAACAATAGGGACATATGCAAGGAAGAGACCTCAGACTAGCCCACTTAAAAGTTGTGCCTTGGATTATTTGGGAAGAAATAAATCTCTGCACCAAGGAGAAAAAGATGGAAGTAATGAGTGAAAATTACCCCGAGCATAGTGGTGAATCTATAAAGTGATTGTTCAGTGCTTTCTTCTCAAACTCCTACTCCATTCTCCTTCATGTCTAGCTTCCCCTCAAACTATTTAATTTGGAAGAATAGAGTCAGACAATGTTGTGATGCAATTTGCAAGACAACCACCAGAGGAGGCTGCTTCTTTAAGATGTGGTTACATCTGCATTCAGGTGGTGGTTTGACATGCTTATTTTCTTTGTAGTCACAAGACAGACTGTTGTGCAGAAAGGGGCTCTTAGCTTATCAGTAAGGAGTTTCTATAAGATCCCACTGGAGACTAGACCTATTAGACTTGGTGCATTGTAAGCAGCAAGAATCATTTCCTTCTACCAACATGCTTTCTGTCACCTGCTCAGTTCTTGTGATCTTAATATTCAGTAAGTAATATTTTATCCTAACTGTTGATGATATTTTATTTTCCTATAATCATGATAACCTTTAGCCTTCTTCCCCAACTGAAACTCTCCTGCTGTATGTTTCCAACGTAATGTAATTTTTTTGTTGTTGTTTTAAGGCAGGAGCAATGGAGACTCAGTGACCCAGACAGGCCCGGTTACTGTCTCAGAGGGGGCACCTGTGATCTTGAACTGCACTTACCAGACCACTTATTCAATTTCTGTCCTTTTATGGTATGTCCAATATCTCAATAAAGCTCCTCAACTACTGCTGAAGAGCTCAACAGAAAACCAGAGGACAGAAGGTCAAGGTTTTCAGGCCAATCATGTGAAGAGTGACAGCTTTTTCTACCTGAAGAAACCCTCAGCGCAAATGTCAGACTCGGCTGTGTACTACTGTGCTCTGATAGACACCATGAGAGGAGCTGCAGGGGGAGCCGAGCACAAACCCAGAGGGGCACAGGTGCGGCCTGGGTGTGAGCAGCCCTAGGATGGGAGAGTGATATTCTCTCCCTAGGCGGTGTTTACTCAGAGTTTCCTCAAGAAAATGAGTCAACCTCAGGTCCAATTCCCAGAACCTAGGAGGTTATGGATTACTCTGTAGGTAGGGTAGGGCGGATGTCAGTGTTAAAGAGAACCCAAGTTTCAGTCTTCAGAAAGGCCAGTGCTCAGCCAGAAAGGCTTTTTTTTTTTTTTTTTNTTTTTTTTGTTTTGTTTTGTTTGTATTTCTAGTATCTACATTGACATCTGGTCATCTGGTAGAGCAGTTGCTTCTTCTATTACTCTAGAGTGGGCTTTGAGGAGAGAGACTTAGATGTGTAGATGTGTTTCATATTTACAGTCAAGTAGGGTGTTTTGGTATTGGTTCCAGGTAGACACAGCAATGTGTTCTACATGTGGGCACTCAGCCACAGTCAAAGTTACAGTTGTGTGCGAGTGTGTGCAAGGCCTAGGCACTGGGGCACTTAGTGATTCCTTGCTACTTCCCTGGACTCCACTGGTGACCCTACTTTTGTCAATGCAATCAACTGGTCAGTGGTCTGCATGCATAGCAGCAGTAACTGGTGTGGTTGCTGCTGTGGTGGCAGGCTGCCCTTGCACCAGTAGTGGCTGTGGCAGTGGCTTTGGCAGGCTACCCACATGGCAGTGGTGGCTCCAGGGAGATGGCCTGCTCATATGATGATGGTGGCTGCCTGGTGGCACGAGTGGTGGCAGCCACTGCAGCAGTGACAGTGGCAGTTGCAGTGGCCACCTGCTTGGCTGTAGTGTCTGTAGTGGCAGTCCACATAGCTACAGTGTCACAGCAGCAGTGGGTTTACCTCATGGAGGTGTCAGCAGCTCTGATTACTGCAACTGCCTCCCTCGCATCTGCAGTGTCCTTGGTGGCAACAGGGATACCTTGGGGTGGCAGTAGTGGCACCAGTGGTTGCAGCCACCTCTCTTGCATCTGCACAGTCTGTGGCTGAAGTAAATCACCCACCCACAGGACTGCTGCTCTGCAGGGGGCTGCTCTGCAATAGGCAACAGTTCTGGGATCAGACAATGGCTCTAGCTACTGCAGTGGTGGTAGTGAGGGGTCCATTTCGATCTTCTGTGGGAAAAATGCACCATGAGCAGCTCTACTCTGCCATCTTTCCAGAAATCCCTTCAATATTAGATATAAGCATCTACCTTGTTTCAATCCACATCTTAGGCATTTGCATGTGTTGATAGCACTAAATTTAAGTAAACACATACCTTCATTTACTCACTCATTAACTCGTTTATTTAAGAAATATTATTCAGCACCTATGTGCTAGTCACTGACTAGGCACTGGAGACACAGCAATAAATAAAATGGACCAAGTCATGCCTTGAGCTTCCTTATATTCTAAAGATTCATACCCCTTATGCTATACCTTGCTACACAGATAAAGAGCTTGGGAAATTAAAAAAAGAAAAACACATTCCCTGATTTCATAGCTTTTGAGACATTAAAGAGATGGTTTAGACTTTTTTCATTTTCCAAATGCAGATCCTTTTGAAATTACCCTGTCACAGCTGTTCCCAGAGGCTCACTCTTTGCTTATTTGATACATTCCTTTAGAGTCACTTTGCACCACTGAAGCAGGTGTGAGAAAATAGTCCAAATTCCAACGCCACACCAGAATGAGGAAGATGTGGAAATCCATGGATCAAGAACCTTCCAGAGAAGTTGTAACAGAGGCACTGAACACGTTAAACCCAGAAAGTAGTCATCTTTCTACTCTTCCCTCCTCATCCCTGTCTTCACATTTAACTGAATTTTTTTGTATCCATCAATAAAAAATGGTGTTACCACCTGACAGTTGAGGTTGTTCAATGTGCCAAGTACTATGGCAGGTCCCTGGGCTACAATAGTAAATAAAATATTGCTCCTGTCCAGGAAAAGTAAACTGCCTGATGGAAAGGCAGATGCAGAGGCAGACCATGACAGACCACTAAAGGTGCCATGTGAGCACAGAGGGGCACCTGGCTCAGGCTCATGGGGACAGAAATGCTGCCCAGAGGGGGTGTCTGAGCTGAGTTCTGAGGGACACTTATAAATCAGCCAGATAAAGCTGAAGGTTAAGAGTAGGAAGGATGGGGAGGGGACAGAGGGAGGAGGGCGGGAGGTGTCGGTAAGGGCCATAATAATCATATACATTGTATATTGACAAAATAAAAATTAAAAAAAAAAATAATAATAAGAGTAGGAAGGATATTTAAGGCAGAGAGATACCCAAGATGCAGGAACATGGTCCATTTGAACTACAGGACAGTAGAAGGTAAGGTGGGAGTGGTATGAGAGGAGAGGGGAAAGGCTGGCAGGGTCAGGCAAAGAATAACATATATGCTATACCAGAGAGTTTGGGCTCCATACTGAGGATAAAGGGGACATAGTGTAGGGTTGTTGGTGGTATGACATGACCAAAGTTGTATTTCAGAAAGCAAATTCTAGCTGCTGTGTAGAGAAAGCGCTGAAGAAGAGCAAGATTGGAGGTAGGGAGGAGAATTTAGAGAATGCTGCAGGGGAGACATGATGGTGACTGAACCATGGTGAAGATAATGGTGGCAGACAAGAACATGGCCAAGGCCACCATATACAGCCATGCAGCTCATGCCTCCACAAAGCACTTTCCCAAGGGTCAAGTGGTTGCTGAAAATCAGGCTTCAACATTCCGGTCAAGTATTGTGGCCCAGCAGGAGGAGGAAGGAAGTCCTTTTATCACCACCAAAGTGCCATTTTGTTATTCTCACTTATGGATAGTGTTGAAGGCCCTGTCAAAGATGAGTGTATTCTAGACACTTTTAAGGAGGAAAACTGCTGATCGGATATAGTAGTTAGAGAGAAAGGATTCAAAGAGGAAGCCAGAGTGTTTGGCCCTAGCACCCTGGCATTCATTAAGGCAGGAAATACTGTCTCAGTCTTAGCTTGGTGCCACTCTGCCTGTTCAACCCAATCCCTTCTTTGCTATCATGAATTTCTTAAATAAATTCAAATAAGTTTATTCAAATAAAATAGAAATATAATACATTTTATTTCTATTTAATAGTTTTCACTTCCTTTATTCTTCATCTTTCCTAGTTCAGTTGATGCCACATCTAAGACAACATGGTATAGCATGAAGAAAAATAAGCTTTATTGAGGGACAAACTATGAATCCCAGCTCTGCCAACAGCTATGGGACTCTATACTCTTCTGAGCCTCAATTTATTCATTTGGAAAATGAAGATGATAATGTTATCTTGTAGGATTGCTATAAATGGCACTACATATATAAACCTAGTGTCTAACAACGTACAATAGTGGACACTAATACCTTTAGCTACTGATGTTATTATTTACTGATCAAATACTCTGTGCTTGCTTCTTTTTCCACTCCCATTTGCAAAAGCTTTATAGTCCTGTCTTCATTTCCTTTTTTACTGCCAACATCACAACAGTCAATAGCTTCTTAAAGTGCTTGCCTCGTTGCAAAACCCTTCTACCTAAAGAACTTCGCAAATGGATATGCTCAGCTAATAAAACTCCATTGATAATTCTAAAAACATACCTAAAATAAACTCCTTAAAATAATAATAGATTTCAAATTATGAGTTTTGACAATACATATGCTTACTGGGGAATAGTTCCTGAAATTTATCAGAAAATGAAGGAAGGTAAAGGAAGAAGAATCCAGATCTAGTTAGACCATGTAGCTTATATGATTTTTCATGAGCTGTAATTTTACCTTACGCAGTTTCATTTAGAGAGCATTAAATGTACTATGTGGTTGGATAATTTAGGACATCTTCAAGAAAGCATGGCTTCCTCTCCTGAGAAGTAGGATTTTATTTTCTATTTTCAGCTGGAGAATTTGAAAAGTTGAATTGTATTTCAATAATGCTACACTTACTGAAACATTTAGGAAAGAAACCAGATTGCAGGCAAGAATTTTTTGGTTAATCTTCAGCAGCCTGTACATAAAAGGATATTACTGGAAACACTTTCAGATTTGTTTATCCTCAAATAATGTAGTCCATTTTCATTTTGAGAAAAAAAAATAAAGAATTCCACAGAAAGAAGTGCTTGCATGACTGGCTGAGTCATACTGCAGAGATTTTTTCCAGTAAGCTACATTATGCTGGATGCTGTTCAAAAGGGGAAATGTCAAACGCACTGGGGTTCAGTCTGGCATGTGGGTGGGTTTACTCAAGCACAGAAATCAAATATAGGCAATGGAGCCAATACCTTGGAAAACAACAGAAGGGCTTATAAATCAGAGCTGGAATTTCAGAAGTTCAGCTGAATCCTACAAATATATTATAAATGAATAATG